GCCATCATAAGCATGTGGATCAAAATTTTTTCACCACTAAATCGGCCATTGAATACTGTCTATGTGACATTATCTGAATTTCCAAAAATCTCACTTTCGTTTTTTCGCCTAATTTCCATGTGGTTGCCCACTGTGCTTTGCTGCCGATTGATCTGTTGTCTACACGATGATCCTGTATAAATAGCAGAGACTAAGATTGCTTTATAAGGGAGATAACTAGAAAATACGAAGAAATGTCCCGTAACCGTTTTTTTCAAAGACCTTTTTCGAAAGTAGACGTTTTAAGAGATCTTTGAAAAATCAGGTCAAGAACTTCAAGCCATCGTGTAACCGAGATCGGGGCACGTAATAATATGCAGGAACCAACGTTTTTGCGTAGATCTCTGGAAAATGACTTATAGCTCCAAAGTTTTACACAGAAATTCATATTTGGATGGTTCAAGGTGTTCTCTACAAAATCAGATCCAAGCGACATCTCGAAAATCCATGGTGTGACCTCGAACATCCAACTAGTGTTTTGTGATACTCCTAGGCACACTATCGATATATGGTAAGAGAAAACCTAGATCTTTACCTTTTGCTTGGGTCAACTTTTTTCACAAAAGCGTTGCTATTTTTATCAGAATCACTGATATATCTATATATATGTACATCTGCCCAAGCAAATATCACCTATGGGAAAGATCTAGATACATTTCGTCTATAATGGGGCGATACACGACTACTATCCATTTCATAGGACGATGCAGTTAGTTGCAACAAAATGAATCTTTACAATAAGCAATAGCTCTGTATTCATTGGATTCTGTTTCATACATGGTCGAAACTAATCGGTATATTGAATAATACTTGACATATACTAAATTTTGATCTAAATATGTGTTGAAGTTAATGTGTTTCAAATACGATAAATTTTTATTAGTATCACTGTTTTGAGTTTTAAAAACAAAAATGAAAAATCAATCAAAAAAAAAATGAAAAATCGCGAATTTCTAAAAAGTCAGAAAATCTACGAGCATTTTATAAATATCAGAAAAAGCTCCACGATTTTCCAGATCGATTTTCTATAAACTAGAAATTAATTCCAAATTACAGTGTACTATGTAACTACAATGGAAATCTAGTATTTGGGCGATTACTAGATTTTTTCTAGTTGCAACTATCGATTTATCACCCGATAATCGATCGATTTAATTATTACTAGATGCACCTGCCGACACATCTAGTTAAAAATCCCTTTTCCAACTAGTAATCTAGATGGCAACTACTATCCATTTCATAGGACGATGCAGTTAGTTGCAACTTGAATAACTTCTCAGTAGAAGTAGCTAGAGACGTGCGGTTTGCGCTTTTAGAAAGAGAAAAGATAACTTTATCAAACTTACTAACAAAATGTGCAAAAACATCGTCCTCTGGCGCCACTTATGGACTGGATTTGTTCAAGCGTCCCTAGAGTCGAAAGTTTCCATAGAATAGACTTGTTTTTTGACATAGATTATATAGAACAGATCATTGGCTATCGTTTGACATCACCCGCAGATTTTTAGCATTTGCCGTTCCGGAGCTATAGGAAGGCCCACTTATGAGACCGTTTTTACGCTTTTTAATTGAAAATCAATTCGAAACAGGGGCAATTGAGCGTGCTGATCACCGGGACGATATTTATTTTCATCTGGCGTTCTTCTCAGACCCATAAACTATTTATTTAAGGCCAAAACTATTATTTGTATTAATATTTATTTAAAAAAAGCGAATTAAAGCTGGTCTCAGTACACAGATACGATGGGTTAACATTTTTTAGACTGTTTTGAACTTAGTTAATTCTTCTACAGTGATTAACAGAGCGTGCGATACTGTCATTGCTTGTCTGAGGACAGTATTCAATAGTTTACAAAAGATTAAAAATGCCCAAAGAGTTTTCTGTCGAACTTAAAGAAATGTACTTTCGTGTTGTCAGTTTTGTTGAGAAAGAGAAGAATGGCGCTACAATTCTCTTGGTCTGTCCACAGCACGTATACCCGCTCTCGTAAATATTTCTGAAATGAAAAAGAAGAAAGAGACTTCTGTCGAAGAAATAGAAGAAGAAGAGGGGGAAGGAGAGAGTTTGAATCTTCGTTCCCGCGCATCTTCATCTACGACGATCTCGACTTCCACCTCGGCCTTGTCCCCAAACAACTCCCTCCCTGGTCAGAAACGTAACTTCTCCGCCTCTTCAGTCTCAAGCCTTGTAACTGTTGTAACTCCTGACCCTCCTAAAAAGAAACGCGATTCTGTAGCGATTCGCATGTCCGAGGCCGCAGATGAGAATATTCGTTACACGTTTCATCTTCTTATCGCCGAAAAAAAGAATCCCAGAACTGAACTTCTTCTTCATCGCCTACTCGAACTCTACCCCGATTTCTCCATCACTTCCATCACCACCCTTTTGCATCATCTTAAACGTATCGGCTTCGTCTACAAACAAACATCGAAAGTCGCGATTCCTCTTGATAGCATCTCGTTTATGGCACAGCGAGCATACTACTTTCGAAAGTTAGATGAGTTGAGGCAAGACAAAGTTTTTATGTTCTATCACGATGAGACATGGACGAATGCTGGTGGTGAGAAGCGATCAGTCTGAATAAGCGAGGAAGGAGCTGGTCGCTTACGAAAAAGCGACGGAAAAGGTAAGATTAGTATTTTCCCCCAAAACTCTTGTTAAAATTCGTCTTTCTCTCAACTTCAGGCAAACGTGTTGCGATTAGCGCCATGATTAACGGGGAAGGTTTTCACAAAGAGTCTATAGACATTTTCGATTCGGACGCAGACCATACAATGAACTTCGCTCACTTTGTCAATTGGGTCAGTCGTACTTCTTCCAACTTACGTCATACGCTAGGCGACCTTCCGTGCATTTGCATCATTATCGACAATGCCACGTGCAGAGATGGGAAACTCCAACTCCGGAGTTGAGCTTCTTTTTAGTGGCGTTGGAGTTTCGTTTTTATTAGATTAGAGTTGAATTGAGTTCAGATTTTTTCAACTCCACAACTCCAGTTGAAAATTTGCAACTCTGCAAATTTTTTTTGTTTTTGTTACGTCACATAAAAGCAATATTAACATGTGTTCAACGTTCATATATTCTGAATATGTTAAACTTATGTGTAGAGTGAAGTGGGGCGATTATGTAAAATTTTGTCGAGCTCTTCAGTATTTATCAAAGAACTTTTTTAATTTTACAGATTTTTGTGTGCGGTTTGTGCAGTCATGTAATTGAGACTCTTAGCTACCTACCTGTGAAAAATCTTCAAAAAATACCTTCGCAATAACGATCTTCCAAAGAATTCTACAGAACCGCCTGCGACTTTACAGACTCGCCCCAGTTGGGGTGAATCTGTAAAACACATAGCTCCCGTTGGGGTGATTCTGTAATCATTGCTAAAATAAACGGTGATTCTAGTTTTCGTAAACGGTAATTATCTTCATTATGATTAGTGTAGGTAGGTGGATTTTTATATCATCGGATCCCTCATAATCTCAACAATATGCTGAAATCAATCTCCAACTTTTCTGATGAAAAATGACTGCGATCCTCTTGGCTCAGCTGGCACGGGTCAAAAAATCAAATTACACAATCGCCCCATGTGGGGTGATTCTGTAATCACGTGTATAGCTATGGGGTGACTCTATAATTCTCGTTGAGATGACTGCCGGGAACAGGTACTTTTAGAAACCTAACTCTTCAAACGTTTTATGGACAAAAATGAAAAGCTTTCTCACCTAATGCTTCCCCAGTGTCAACAGGTCAACTTTAAATCATTAGCAAGAAAAATCCGTCAAACTGAACTCGGTTAAGCGGCTGATCGCGGATAAAAAGCAAGTTCACTACCGTAACTGTGGAGAAAAAAATTGTCGAAGATTTAACAATCAGCTTAGAACGAACATTGAATTTCTGCTAGTGCATGTGTGTTTCAGATTAACCTTTCAGAAATGCGTAATTACGTGAGAAAAAGAGTTCAGAGCTATTCTGATGACGACATCAATCTAGCCCTCCAGCTGATTCGAGAAGGTAAAACGGACGTTAAGAAAGCTTCAGAGAAGTACAAAATTCCAGCAAGTACATTGTATAGTCGGTTATCGGGAGCAAACAATTCTGGACCAGTTGGTGGGAAAACAATACTAAATAAAGCAGAAGAAACTCATCTTGTTTATGTAATTAAAAAATTGCAAGAATATAATCACCCCGTTTCAAATTCTGATGTTCGTAAATTAGCTGCATGGTATATGCTAGAATTAAATAAAAATGTTTCAAACAACGGTCCGGGCAAAGACTGGTTCTATGGCTTTATGGCACGATGGTCACATAAGTTAAAAGTTATGAAAAGTATTAAACTAGAAAAAGCACGAAATGAAGCCTTACCAGTTGATGTGCTAGACAGCTGGTTTAACAAGTTATATTGTTATTAAAGAAACTCAATTTATTTGATAAACCATCAAATATATTTAATTGTGATGAAAGTGGATTTTCTGACGACCCTGACAAAAAATGTGTTGTTGTTAAACGCGAAACTATTGCTGTTCATGGAGGAAGTGGTAAAAAACATACTACGGTTTTACTGACAACTTCAGCTAGTGGCAGGTAAAAGAAACTCAAGAGGTAAGACGATAAAATGAATAGTTATCTGTTTCTTTGCTGCAGATGTTTTCCACCTTATATTGTTTACAAAGCAGAACGGTTATACAGCACTTGGATGCCAAAGAAAAATTATCCTGGAACAATGTACAACACAAGTCAGTCAGGCTGGATGGAAGAGCATATCTTCTATTATTTTAAGTTTTATTTCTGATATTTCAGATAGGATGTCAGTTCCTTTAGAAATCAGAATAAAGATTGTTTTATTGATAGCCAAATTCGAATCACTTACAGTTGTCCAACGCAAATTGAAAGTCGAATTCGGCAAACAAACCCCAAGTTTGCATTGTATCAAAGATACTTTCGAACGCTTTAATGAAATTGGAACAGTGGAAGATCGGCAACGTTCGGGAAGGCCTTCTGTTATCACAGAAGAGAGGATTGAAGAAGTTCATAATTTTTGTGAAGCTGAACCAAGCTCAAGTGTTCGAACAGTAGCAGCCGCTTGTTCGATTCCAAAGACCATAGCGCATCGAATTATGACTGAAAACTTATCACTCAAGCCTTACAAAATGCATTTTGTTCAACAATTAAATGCTCTCTCTCTCTCTGTGTCTCTATTTGTTAAAAAATAAAATGAAAGAAACTAGTCACGATTTTAAATTTTAATATTAAAATATATTTTACTTTCATAAAAATGAGTTTTATCAATATTTAACAAGAAAAACAAAAATATATGTTGAAGAATAATATTATATTTTTCTATTCTAATAATAATTCTTCAAAATTTTAGAATATTTAAAAGTAACATATTAACAGCAGCTGTATATAAACTCATTTTAATGAATCATATATTAACAACAGCTGTTAATATATAATTTTTACTTTGGTCATTATCCATCAAAACTAATAATATTTTATATGTGTGTTAACAAATCTATTTAGATATTTTGTTATTATTATTGATTAATATAATAAATGGATCATTATGAAGGAGAATATTCGAGTACCTATAAAGGTTCTCATATATTTCGATCAATAACAAAATATATTGGTTTACCAGTCGATCAATTTAATTTTATTCTAGCTCAAACAGTAGCACTTATTTTAGCCATTTGTTTTCGTCGATATTTACCACCTAAACCAGAAAATACTATTAAACGTCATTTATTATCGGCATTTATTGGTATTGCTATTGCACAATTTTGTTTTGGTCAACAAGTATGGCATTTAATTATTCAATCGAGTGTTTCATATTTAATATTATATATGATAAAACCAAAATATTCTTATCTAGTAGTATTTGTATTTTGTATGCTCTATTTAAGTTTTATTCATATTTATCGTATTATATTTGATTATGGAAATTATACATTAGATGTTAGTGGTGCACTTATGATTAATACTCAAAAATTAACAGCATTAGCATTTTCATTTTATGATGGATATAGATCAACAAAGAGAAAAACACAAGATAATAATGTTGAAAATATATTGAACGATGATCAAAAACAACAAATGTTAATAAAACTTCCAGATCCAATTGAATTTCTTAGTTATGTATTCTATTTTCATGGTATTTGTGTTGGACCATTATGTTTTTATAAAGGTAATTGAATTTTTATATGTAAATAAAAATTGATCTAATTATATTTATTTTTTACTTTAACATTTTTAGATTACATTGACTATGTTGAAGGAAAAAATCTTCTTATAATACCTACAAATCAAAATATTAGTCAAAATTCTAATTCATTATCTTCTACAAAAGATGATGAACAACAATATCGTAATTTACCTCTTGAACAACGACAACCATCTACATTTTGGCCAGTATTTACAAAAGTATTACAAGCATCATTTTGGGCTTATATCTTGTTGAAATTTTCAGGAAATAATTCAATAGAATATAATATAAGTGATGAAATGGTTAATTCACCATTTTTTAAACGCGTTCGATATTTATGGTTTTCATCATTTTGTCATAGAGCCAAGTAAATAATTCTATAGTTTTTAAGGAGACCCCCCCCTCCTCTTTTTTCACCTTGTTGCCAAATGCAGAGAGCACACGTCCGATCGACTTCAAATTTATACCAGAGATAGAAGAGCGAAAAAGAAACTCGATGTATTTTTGCTCAGAATTTTGTGACATGATCTGGTTTTCTGGAAAACTCCAGTTTTCACCCAGTCACATTATGATCCCTCGAAAAAATGGTCCGATCGAAAAAAATTCTGAGATAGGGTCTGGAGTATCTGTGGTAAAAATTTCGACTCGATTGGACCATTTTTTCGAGGCATCATAATGTGACTGGATAAAAACTGGAGTTTTCCAGAAAACCCATAGAAGATCATGTCACAAAATTCTGAGCAAAAATACATCGAGTTTGTTTTTCGCTCTTCTATCTCTGGTATAAATTTGAAGTCGATCGGACGTGTGCCCCACATTTGGCAACAAGGTGAATAAAGAGGGGAGTACCCTTAAGCAACATATCAATTTATTTCTTCTATTTATAGATATTATTTTGCTTGGATATATGGCGAAGCTATTAATAATGCCGCTGGATTGGGTTTAAACGGTTATGATGAAAAAACAAAACAGCCAAAATGGAATTTATTAACAAATATTATTCCGTATAAATTAGAATCATCAACAAGTGTCAAAGTCATTTTAGATGTATGGAATATTCAAACTGCATTATGGTTAAGACGTATATGTTATGATCGATTAAGAAAAGGTCGTACATTATTTGTATTTATATTAAGTGCATTTTGGCATGGTTTTTATCCTGGATATTATTTTACATTTGTTTTGGCTGCATTTGAAACATATGCTGGACGTGGTATACGTCGACAAATTCGTCCTTATTTTCAAAAAAATAAATCAAGAAAAATAATCTATTCAATATTAACATGGACTGGCACACATATTGTTCAAGACTTTACTGTAGTACCATTTGTTTTATTAGAAGTTCGAAAATGTTTATATTTCTACAAATCATGGTATTTTGTGGTACCCGCTGTCGTTATTCTACTAGCTATTTTATTACCCGGGGCTAGTACAAAGACACCACGTACAAATACTACTAAAAATCAATTAACTAAAGATCATAATCAACAACAATCAACACAAGAAATTGAAAAGATAAAAGAATTTTAAATGAATCATTACATTTATTAACTATTTGTTTGTATGTACTTCAATTCCAGCACAAAAGTTTTGTTCTTATGTTCGTGATCAACAATATTAATATATACATCATGTTTTATGATAAAAAACATCAAAACTATAGGCGAATTATTTTTTGTAATCAGTAGTTTCCGGTTATTTGCGCTTGTTGATAATTTATGTATGTCATATCATTTTAAGATAACTTCGTTATTTTTTTCTTCTCCATTTTGCCATGTTTGGACACAATTAAAATATTTTCTATTTTTACAATATCACAGTTAGTACTGCGCAAAAGCAGTGACACCTCTATAACTCAAGAACTATGATAGCTAGAGACTTCTAATTTTGTGTGATCATAGCTCTTACTGAATGCTGATTATCCACCAAGTTTGGGCCTCTTTTACTGGATGGTTCATAGGTAAAAACGAAATTCTTTCTTTTCCGTAAAATATCAATAGCCCCTGACCTGAGAGAGATGAAAACTTTTTGTTTTTATTAAAATGTAGCCAGACTTTACTCTATCTATGATATGAATTTCAAGAGGTAGCTGTTAACGGTCAGTGAAATACAGCTATTTTACGGGCGAGCACCGCTTTTTTTATTCGTTGAGCATTTGACGTCCTTTGAGCACAATTCACAACTCGGTCTAGGAACGTCATTTTGACTGCAAATTCGCACCAAAGACTACAGCGTTTGTATCTAGCCAAAGCATGAAGATTAGCTATTGTGTGGATCAGGAACTTCATTGGTTGCAAAAATAAAAGAGCATCTGAAAACTGACGTACTTGCTTCCACCTTATGTCTGCCGAGAACGCTTGTTTATTCCTGCCTTTCTTCTTCTATTTCAAGTCTCGGCGAAGAAACCTCTCGGGTCCACTCAAGTCACCTCGTCCGAAATCGAAAAGAAAAGCCTTCGACTTCATCACAGGAGACAAAGTCAAGGAGAACGACATCAACGAAGAACACTAAGAAGGTGCTTTTCAAACAAAAGACTTGATTGGTTTTCGAAAACAAGGTGTCGCTCGGTTTCTTGATGACCTTCAAGAGGGTGCTCGTAACCCCCCTTGATCAAACACATCCAGTCGTGCTCTGCATTCGACGGTGAATCTGAGGGAAAGACTTAGAGAGAGACTCAGAATGAACGTGTGAATGTAAAATCTATACAGAGAATAGAGCACTTTTGACAGTCCCAAACTCGTTCGAGGAAATCTGACCTATGAACAAAAAAATTTACTGATTGCACAAGTTTTTGGATCATGGATGTCGAAAAAAAGTGTTTTAAATCTTTATTCGGATTCTGCAACACGAGAAGCATTTGAAACTATCATTTCAAGAGAATTCGTTTTGTATAAACGAGACATCCTCGAGGAAACTTTGGCCAACTATCACAAGTCAGATGCCTATGCGAGAAGAAGCAATGCTCTATGGAAAATCCAGTGTAGTATTATTGCTCAATCCCAAGATCGGCTTGATGCAATAAGGTGAGCTGAATATACCCACACAGCGGGAGAGTTTCCAACCGATTGAGGTGAAACTTTATGCAACTCCATAGTTCATTGTGTGGAAAACCAACATCCTCTCAGATCATCGTTCTGAACTATGACGGATTTTCCAGGAGCCTTCGAGGGTCTTCAGAGAAGTTCTCGAACACCGAGTAGTTTTACCCTTCTTAGCGTGCTACGATAGAAAAGCTTCTTTTAAATTGCTTCCATATTTCTGACTATTGTACGCTGATAATGTGAATAGCAGAATTTTAAGCTAGATTATATCCGGGCATCTGAAACGCATGCATGAAAAACAATCATTGCTATTACATTCTTGTCACCTGTAAGACTTCTGCTTGATAGAAATAATACATGAGGATCTCCACATGGTAACTGAATATAAGTTTTTCAACTAGGTCTCTAGGAGATCTTTAGCAAACCTTTTTTTTGGCATAGTGCTTGAATGTCTCCGATTTTGCTGAAAATTTTACAGTGGCTGCGCACTAGTAATAGAAACATTTTCTGAAATTCTTAAGAGCAAAAAAACTAGTCGCTATTCGCTAATTACTTTCTAATTAATTAACTAATTAGCTAATTAGTTTTAATTAATTATAGTTTTAAAGAGCAAAGTCTCCTTCATATATTCAAATAATAAAGAGTTATCCCCAAACTAAGAGTAAGGAGAAATTCAAGATGAACAAACGGTAATCATGTCCACTTTACGCTGATTTTGCCCATATACACCTACAGTGGGTCAAAAAAATCTTCGTCCACTTGGTCATTTTCCAGCAAAACAGTTCTGGGGAGATATTCTGTAGCAAATTATGTAGCAGAGCATCCGTTTTTCATGAAACGCATTTTGCCGTGAAGAGAAAAAGTTGTTCTTACATTTGACATATGATTCAAGTGTCTGTGCCTCGGACGACGCCGATGGTGACGTAGGGAAATAACTTTATCGTGTTCTCTGCTGGGGATTGGCCGATTATGAATCTCTTCCGAGCGCTGTTTTGTTGGAAAATGGCCAAGTCGGCGAAGACTTTTTTTAGGTGTTTTTCGTTTAGGAATCATGACTACCGAGCGTTTCCACCTTTGGACCGACTTGACCACTAGCCGTATATAGTCACGATTTCGGCTGCTTTGGATCCAAACCAGCTGAAACTTGTAATAAAGATAGTTTTCAGGCTCTATTTTTTTACGTTCTCTGTGAGATCAAACTTCGATTTCGGATTGCCAAGGCCTGCTGTTCTAGAAAAATCTTCTACGGACACTCTAAAGATCCTACATGAGAGCGAAACTTTCCGTTAATGATGTCATCTGATTTCTAGCTCAGAAATAATGTATCGCTTTCTGTTTCAGACATTGATTTCGTCGGATTGGCGTAATATTCTGTAGAAGTTAGCGGCAACTAGACAACCGACAAACTGTTGAAACGAAAATTTCAAAAACAATTGATCAAAATCAACCGAGTGTGCGCACGAGGAACTCGAGTCAAGTGTCAGAATTTATTTCTGGTCCATTTTCACCCGTCATCGCTTCTGCATACCAAAAAGCTTATTCACAGAACTCTCCCAAAGACTGGCACTTTTCTAAGAATTGTTTAGAAAAAAATACTTAATTCTTGATCACTGGTGCTCCGGCAAATAACCTGCTCCTCTGGCAAAAAAAGTGAGAACACGAAGTAAAATATCAAGCGCTGAGAGGAAGACACTACCAATGAAAAAAGCTATATAGTGGCAAGTGCAGAAGTTTTTGGCGATAGAAATTTGCCGAATGTTACTTTAGTTCCAATCTCCTAACATAAATATAATAAAACTAAGACACATCTTATGGGTTCTCCACGAGAGAAAAGATCGATGTCTGATAAAAGTCACTAGTTCGGAAAATAAAAAGTGATTTTAAGGCTTATTTTACTTCGAGTAAAATGAAAGATTTCTGCAGACAAGAGTTTCTATCTTCCTTAACTTGTGAACCTTCACTTTAAAATAGCTGTGGACGGCCGTCTGAGAGCAGGAAGACTCTCTGTACACGTCAACTCGATTCTGAATTTAATTTTTAATTTTTTTCTGATTTAAAAATTTAACGCGCTTAAACGCATTGGAAACTAACGCGTTTAGCAGGATGCCTTTTGTCACATTTCGCGTGTTCAAACGCATTAAAGTATAACGCGCTGATTATTGACGCTGTGAAACGCGTTGATCAGTAACGCGTTTGAACGTCCGGAATGTGACAAAAAACATCCTGCTAAACGCGTTAGTTTCTATGAAAATTTAAACGCACTGTAACGCGTTTTTTTCGTAGAAAAAGTTTGCCTGAGTTCACTATTCATGCAAAAAACACCAGAACAAGTTTAAAACTTCACAATGTAGAGTATTTAGGCTATTCTATATTCGATTCATGAAAGATGTAGGAAGAAATTTTACAAAAAAAAACCCTAAGGTTTTCCTAAAGGGCTTCTGGAAAATCTACTAACAGAAAGGAGGCAAGTCCTAAGACTCGTAGCAAAGCCGAGACAATACAAACCTATCGGGAAATTTTTACGTGCGGCCTAGTTTTTCAAAGAAACTGTTCTTGAAAAGATTTTGATTATGAAAGCATGCTTCCAAGTCTTCTCTTTCGAATGGTGAAAATCGGAGCTCTCTAGCTCTTTTCGATCAAAAGTTATTCAGAAAGCAACCGGTGGCCTTGTATTGTTTTCAGATAGTAGTTTTTCTCAAAACTGATTTTTGTGCTAATGATCAAACTCCGTACATGATTTTTTTTGCGACCTTAATCCTTCCACATTAAAGTTGAATAAACATACAACAACATTAGCTACCTTATCCGGTCTCTTCTTCTTCTATAATCGACAAAGGTCAGAGATGCATATTCTAGAGTTCTATTCGTTGCACATCTGACTAAGGGTCTCACTCACTGAGCCATCATATTTGTTAACAATGTCTTTTCTTACACACGGATCTGAATACCTGAATGTTGCGTTACTTATTGGAACAAAAGAGTAAGCCCATTTCCTCGATCGAAGCTGCTGTTAATTTCCCAATCAGTATCGTAAGTTGACCTTGATGTTTTTGAATTGAAATGTGATATTCGGAAAATTTCTTGTTTCGATGAGTAATTGTTATGACATTTGATTTAAGTTATTTCTCAATGCTTTATTTTGTTCATTGTTTTGAAGGATTTGAGTGATTGACGACATAATTTGGAAAACACTGGCTCCCATTGACATAACGGTCGAAATAATGATAGCCAACAAACCAGCAATCCTTCCTATTGAATTTTTATTTGTTGAGATATTAATTGCCAACCTTCGCGGAATTGAATCACTTTCTTTTCATGAGTCTCGTTTGACTTCTTCGGCTCTTGATTAAAATTATCTTTAATTGTTTTCAATTCATCATCAAACTTTTTTACCACATTTGGATCCATTACTGTATCCAATTTGTTCGGTAACTGAGGCCATATATGAGTGGCTGCGTTGAAACCTGGCGTGTTAGTGATACGATTCAA